TATATATATATATATAGTTGTATAAAAGTGTATAAAAAATGTCTATATAACAATGTATAAGCACAGTAGTGAAAATGTTAGTGATACACCATGTATATAGAAGAAGAAGAAGAAGAAGAAGAAGAAGAAGAAATAATGTGAGAAATCCAACAAATACCTGTAAATAATGTATCAGCCTTGTATAAAATAATGTATAAGATGTGTTTATACACTATTATACGTTACTTATACAATATTATACACTATTATACACTATTATACAAATGAGTCCTATTAATGGAGCTTCACTGGTTATTCTTCTTCTTTGGGCATCTTCTGAAATTCAACTCAAATCTACCTCAAATCTGCTCCAAATCACTTCAAATTTGAGTTTTGAACTTTCCTTGACGATCCCAATCAATTGGGCCAATAACAAAATTGAAAAATTCAATTTCTGACATTGAAGCTTCGAATGACCTTTAATGGTGACTCCCAAAATAATAATTCTCTTAAGTGGTATTTTTTCTTCTCATCTTAATAGTGATTATCAACTTTGAATCTGGAAGGAGAATTGAAGAATATATATAATGATAGAGAAACTTTGGGGTGCAAAGTCGTGAAAGAGGAAGAAGAAGAAGAACGAAGAAAAGAAAAAAATAGGGTGGGCTAACTGGTAAAAAATAATTTTCAGATTATGTACAACCTGGGCCATATCAGGTAAGAGCTTCAAACGTGGGCCATTTTTTTGATGGACTGTTGGGCCAAGTAACAAGGAGCGTAATTCCCCCGACTTAAAATCTTTTATTATTGAAGATTTATCACAAACAAGATGTAGACTTAAGCACGTTAGACAACACAAGGTGGCCTATAGCTGGAAAATGTAGTCGCCTATAACCTATTACTTGCATTACTTTGTGTGAAACTAATTTAAGGATTATATTATTACTTTTTAGTTGGACCTTTGGAGCAACGGTAAAGTTTACTTGTGATTAATAGCCGGCTGTAGGTCACGAATTCGAACCGTGGAAACATCCGATAATGCTTGCATTAAGGTAGGCTATCCACATTACACCCCTTGCGGCCCTTTCGGATCCGCGTGAACGCAGGATGCCTTGTGCATTAGCTGCCATTTTATATATTTTTTTAATTGGTATTTTGTCCATGTCATTAGTATCCAATCTCCATTATGTCCTAATATTTTTGTCCTTTTCTTATTTGGTTCTAATAGATTCTCCACTATATCAAAATCGTTTTGTTTCATATCTTGCAGACATTTAAACATGCAAATCAAAGATAGAAATGCAGAAATGAGAGTAAGTTGAATATTTTTCATGTTAAAGTCCATAATCACATAGTGTTATTAGGAAGGAGATCTCACTTGAACTCGAGCATTTCAATCAATATTACCAGTGAGAAAAATGACATCCATTTGGTCTCCAACAATAAATAAAATCTAGACAAATACTCTCAAATATATAACACTCCGGTGCTTAAGGCATACCGCGTTCACGCAGGGTCCGGGGAAGAGCCGCACCCAAAGGGGTAATGGTGTAGACAGCCTAGACTAATACAAGCATTAGCGACTTCTTCCACGGCTCGAACCCGTGACCTATAGGTCACACGAAGACAACTTTACCGTTGCTCCGAGGCTCCCCTTGGGCTCTCAAATATATATTGTGATGCTGAAGCCAAGAACTCCCTTGGAACTCATGACAAAAAAAAGTACTCTGTAAAACATTACTCTATTAACAATAATGAATGATAAAATCATGACAGAAATAGTTGATGTAAATAGATATGCTGATTGAGCTTTTTAATCCATCAAAAATGAAAGAAATGATGCAAGAGAGACCAATGGGGGGGAAAAGGAAAGAATTAATGGAGTAAATTAAAGTAAATTATGAGAAACATTACATCATTCTAATAGAAGTAGAATCCAATCCTCAACTTTTCTTTCAAGCAAAATGCTGTCCATAAAAAGCTGAACTTTACTACACACATATACACAAGTATGTCATTACCATTATAAACTTTTGATTTGTCTATCAAACAAATGTGCATTTTATCTTCCATTTAAAGCAGCAAATTGAGCAAACATTGCTGTCTCTGAATTATCATCAACAGCTTGAACTTCAGCAGGATTTCTACTTTGTTGATTATCAGTAGTGGAAACAACAACAGCTGGAGCAGGAGCGGGGGCGAAAATAGGAGGACAAACTGGTGTAGCAATAACAGCTTTGTTTTCGTCCTCCGCCTTTCCTTGTAATGAGGCTTCTTGTAGTTGCAATGCATATTCCAAATTCCACAAAACATCACCCATTGTAGGTCTCTCATCGCCATAATCCGCTAAGCATTTCTCTGCTGCTTCAGCAAATTTTTTCAATGATTCCGGATTAACTTGTCCTACAAGTGTTGGATCAAGAACCTTGTCTAATAAGCCTTTTCTCTTCCATTGCATTGCCCATTCTGCCAAATTCACTTGCTCTCGTGGAAGCGCTGGATTAATAGCAGGACGAGCACATAACGCTTCAAGAAGTACAACCCCGAACGAGAAAACATCAGATTTGTCTGTCAATTGTTGTGTCCTGAAATACTCAGGATCTAAGTATCCGAAACTTCCCTTAACAGCAGTACTCACGTGAGTCTGATCCGTTGTTGGTCCGTCTTTCGATAGCCCAAAATCAGCCATCTTGGCAACGAAATTCTCATCGAGTAAAATGTTGGTGGTTTTAACATCTCTATGTATAATACCAGTAGCTGCACCCGTGTGCAGGTAATGAAGTCCGCGAGCAGCACCAATACATATATCTAGCCTTTGTTTCCAAGTTAAAGGTGGCATATCTTTTCCATATAAATGATCTCTAAAAGGACCATTTTCCATAAACTCATATACCAATATCATCTCAGAACTTTCATCACAATACCCTATCAACGACACCAAATGTCGATGCCTTAACTTAGATAACATCTGAATTTCAGTCTGGAATTCATTAATACCTTGCTCAGATTGCGGATTACCTCTCTTAACTGCAACTTTAGTCCCATCGTCAAGTTCTCCATAATATACATTTCCAAATCCACCAACACCAATAATTTCAGTTGGATCCCAATTCCTCGTAGCATCTGACAATTCAGCAAAACTAAAGTATCTACCTAATCCTCCCATTGTAGATGAGAAGAATTGACTCTTTCGCGACGCTGATGACATAAAAGTTGTATCTCCAGCATGAAGTGGAAGCAACCAAGATGAGAAACTATTCCTCTTTTGCCAATCTTGTGGTCTCTTTTGCCATTTAACAGCCATTGCACCTAAACCAACAAAAGCTCCAAACATCATTGCAAATCCAACATAAGCCACAGTTTTACTTGGTCCACTTTGTTTTTTTCCATCAACTCCATATTCTCCATCTAAACTACCCACAGAATTATTCATCCGAAATACCTCAACACCGTTCAGAATTGCATTCCTAAAACCTTGAGCATCATTAACAGGAGATACACGTACAACGAGCGGGTTTGATACCATAGATGAATCCACAACAAAATCCTTGTAAAAAGCTGTAGCCAAATGATTTGTCAACGAGGACAAATCTAGCCCAGAAATCGCCATTTTATCGTTAATATACACATTAAAGTAAAGCTCATTGAGTGCTTTGCTAATAATATCGCAGAAATGGAGACGAATCAAGTGAGAATATGTAGTATCAATATCCATAGTCCAAGATATATTAAAATTCGGAAGTGTAGTTTCTGAATCAGCCATTTTAACAGCAGAGCTATACACTGTTGGTGGAGCAATTAATGGCGAACCGCCTGATTTAGGATAGTTAATAACAGAAGGTTGTGTAGATACCTCTTCACCAGTTGCATTGTTTCGAAATTGTGAATCAGGCAACCAATTTCGACCAACTGTATCGTTCGTCGAATCCAACATTGGACCACCAACATTAAGCCTATACATTGTCACAAAATTACTTTTCGAAAGATCAAATTTTTGTGACACAGGGAAAAGTACAGGAACAGAAGTATCAAGCAATTTATCAGGGACAGTAACAAATTCAATGGCGTTAATAAACGCCACAGAACCTTTAGCTGGTTGAAATTTAATTGCGTAACGTTCATTTGTTACATCAACAATAAATTCCTTGATAATGACTTCATCTTTCGCGAATTGGACATCGCGGAGAAGGACTAATGTATCCGTTTGAACGGAAAATTTAACTGTTTTGAGATCGTATTCGTTGTATTTAAAAGGTAAGAAATGTAATCTGATCCAGTGTAATCCAGGACTAGTTGCATGAAATGTGTACGTAGCTTCGGTTGTAAATATTTTTGCATTAAGGTAAATATTTGAAGGCACAGTAAGATTTTCTGAAGCAGAAGCTGATATGTCTTTACCACTATAAGAAAGATATTTGGCTGTGTTTTGGTCAGGTTGAAAATTTTTATTCCCTGGAAGGGTAGTAGGAGAAGTGGCCCCACAATCAATAAGGTAATTATCTTGAGGGGTAAAAGAGGGAAAAGATTTTGCAGGTGCAGTATCTGCAGAATCTGATTGAGCAAATACATAAAGAAAGACAGATGGGGTTGTGGTTAAAATGAAGAAATATAACAAGAAAGTGGCCATGGCTAAAAATGAAAATGGTTAGAAAATAGGGGTAGGGGGGTGGGGTTAATCTAGGTTTTTTTCCATCTCCAGCCCCTCTAAAAATGGAAAGGGGGATGAATTTGAGAGTTTTTAATTCAGTCTGGTTTTGGCCAATATTATCGCCATGTTTGTGGGATGAGGGATTTTTGTTAAGTTTTGTTTTAATTTTTGTTACTTTTGTGGCCTTATTTTGTTAGCTTTTACGTATATAGTGGTTGAAATGGTCACCTAACGTTATTTTCTCTCTGCTCTTCGTTTTTACTTGCCTTTTTTAGAAGTTACAAACTTATTTTTAGACATCTTTATTATTGGCTTAACTTATTCTTCCCCGGAAGTTTTATTCACATTTTACCTCAAACCATATTAGTTACTATAATTAAGCGATAATATGTATTAATTAATCATGTTAAGTGATAAATATGAATATGAAAAATGTATCATATATTCATTGAATTGATGTAAATATCTCGTGTTGATAATCTATTGGCTCAAGTTCATCTTGGTCCTCTTTTTTTTTTTTTTTTTTTTTCTTTCTATTTTTCCCTTTGATTACTTGTAGTTTTCAAAAAAAAAAAATTTGTTTTATATCGAAAAAAGGATACATGATCATTACGCTGATCTTTTACAACATTTACATAGTACTTATTTACTTTTCAAAAGCAAAATACACGTATATACTCACTCTTATAATTGCTTTTTAAATTTCGTATAGAATTAAACTCTGTGAGAAACGTGTAAAATAAATGACTTCACATTAACGAAAAAGTACTGCAACTACACAAATAAGTGTGTGAAAATATTTTACAAGTAATGGATATTATTCTTTCTCCCTTTTATTTGTGACTATATTCATGTCCAATTACTTGAATAAATGCTTGAAGACAAAAATATGTGATGGAGGGTTAAAGATAAAAAAAAATGTTAGCAAATATATTTTCTTTCTTTTAAAGTAAGAGAGCATTCTTCTTTGCGCTTGGAGAACTCAGAGTTTATTATTTGTAAAACTATTTTGAGTATTTAATAGATGAATGAATTAATCTAAATAATCGCTCGCTTGATCACTTAAAATAAGCTGGCATAATATGGTATTAAAGTGTATAATTTATATATAGCGGCTAGAAAAAATAAACAGTAAATTGAGCTGGTTATTTGTATAAAGATCCTATTCAATCAGATTTCTATAACACTCGTGACTTGGCAGTAAATCTGCAAATGTTTGATAGGTGATTTGCACGAATAGCTATTTGTGGCCTTGTATTTAGAAGTTAGCCCCTTTTTCAAAATTAGATCGTGGTCTGAAATTCAAAAATGATTGCTTAGTCTGAAGTTTAAAATTCAAAACTAAAATTCAGACCACGACTCTAACTTTAAAAAAGTGGTCGATTTCAAATTACAATGCCAATTTTAAAAAAGTGGTCAATTTCTAATTACAATGTCACAAAAAATGACCACCTATTGTAAATAATGCAATCTGGGATTTCATCATTGGGTCCTTACACAAATAGCCGGTCATATACATTGTTTATTTTTTCTAACCATATACATAAATTATACATTAATTGTATACATATAGTATATAAATTATGCAAAATTTATACATCCAGTGGCTATATTAGTTTAAGCGATTGGGTGGACGTTTAGTTGTGCTTTTCTACTTAGTATTTGGGCCTAGATCCAAAACCAAACAATTGGGCTTGAATAAAGTCAAGTAGCTGAAAGGCCCACGCATTGCTACTTCTACTTCTTCCCTCTGCTGAAAAGAGAAGTGTAAAAAGATCGCACAAATTACGTCTTGTTTTCCAAGTCACTCGGATATACTCAGGCCAGTTATTGAGCAAATTCCGATGACGAGCGAGGGAGATGAGGCCGCCGTCCGCCGCCGTGCGGCATATGGGGATTACAGGAAAAAGCTCCTTCAGCACAAGGAACTAAATGCTCGGGTTGGAACAGGTAAGATTCTCTAAAATCTCAAAACCCTATCTTTGATAAATTGAAGTCGATCGAGGATTTAAAGGCAGTGGATGCGTGTGCATATGTGTTTATTTACGTAGCTATGTTCTTATATACACGTGTATAGAAAAGTTTGGGATTGAGGCGTAATAGAAAGACTAGTAGTTGATGTTTAAAGTTTCTATTTGTGCGTGTGCATAAGCTGCTGTTATATTGCATCTGCCTCTGAACGACAATAGAAGTTCTAAAAAATAATATCATTGTCCCATCAGAAAGAGTATTAAAATGCATATTTTTTAGTTGATAATCATTTGCTTAAATGCACAAAATTTGTGGTCTCCGTTTTTAGGTTTCTGGAGGGTAAGGCTAGATACTGTATGGTCTGTGGCGAGAGAGGAATTACAACAACAACAACAACAACAACATACCCAATAAAATCCCACTAGTCTGGGGAGAGTGGAGTTTACGCAAACCTTACCCCTACCCCGAAAGGGTAGAGAGGCTGTTTCCGGGAGACTCGGCTCAATAGAAGAGGCAATAATATCAGAAAAGGAAACAAAAGAAAACAAAAGAAACAAAAGGAGACAAAAGAAGGGCCTGTAACAACAAAAGATGCCAGAAAGTTAATAACATCACCGTAAGAGACAACAAATAAGTGAAAGGACAATAACACAAAAACTATGCAAAACAACAATGTGAACTCAACATAGACCGCTAACAGACCTAGACAAAACTCTATCAGACTACCCGGTACAAAGAGGGAAAAACTCTCGACTACCCCCTAGCCTACAACCCTAATGCTCGACCTCCACATGTTCCTATCAAGAGCCACGTCCTCGGAAATCTGAAGCCGCGCCATGTCCTGCCTAATCACCTCGCCCCAATACTTCTTAGGCCACCCTCTACCTCTTCTCGTACCTGCCAACCGTTCACACCTCCTAATCGGGCATCTATTTAACCTCTTGTTGAGAAAGGAATTACAGAATTCAAAAATCTTAAGTTTCTGAATGGATATAGAGGATTCATATAGCCGACATAAAATGTGATGATAGTAATGTAATGCAGCCATATTTTACTTGTAAGTGGTTCCTGCTAAAGTCCTGATGTCGAGAATTACTGATGCTAGAAGAGCTTAGCTTATGTTGGAACCACCCCAACACTTGTTTCAGTGGTTGATCTGAGATTTTTGTTGCATTACTAGGAATATTTCCTTGTGCTTATACTGTGATATTGCTTTGCGTAGGAATAAATCAACAGTTAAAGATCAGTGGTAGAGCCATACTTTTCACTAAGGAGGGTCAAAATATAAAGAAGTAAACACACACAAAAGTCGAGGGGATTTAACATATAGTACATATACATAAAAAGGAATATTTTACCTAGCCACGCAGTGTAATTTCTCGATGAAGGTCAATTTGACACCCCTTAGCTAAGGGTCGCTCCGCCAATGCGTAAGATAAGAAGGAAAGAAATAGAAGATTATAGAATTGATTTAGAGCAATGCATAATGAGTGCCACTATAGTGTGAAGGTCTCTAGAGTTTCTATTTGTTTTTGACATTAGATGTTTGTCATCCAATGACCATGCTTTTCACTTTCTTCTGGTTAGCAAACTGATAATATCTTGCTACCTAGGTGTCTAACAAATTTAGAGCCTCTAATACCATGTGAAAAGGGAAAAAGCAGAAAGAATAATTCTTATTTAATTAGTTGTGATAATAGATAAGAGAGATTCTTTATATTGGAGTCTTGATCTACTTACAATATGCGAAGCTATTATTCTCTATTTACCAAAAGGCAAGTACTCAATCCATTCCAATTTATGGGAACTTGTTTGATTAGGCACAATTTAAGCAAAAAGAAGACTTTTGAAACGTGTGGTTTAAAACATTTCATAACATTTGGCTGGCTATAATGCTTTTGAAACTTGCAGTCTTACACATGCTATTACAATTGTGTGGCTATACCAATGGAAAGTTTAAGATAAATTATTTTCAAATTTAAATAGGGGTCATTCTTTCTTCTTCACATAAATTGAAATAGAGGGAGTAATTACTATCTTACGTTGATGTGCATTGGCTACATGTCGTGAATCTACACATATTTTAACACATAATATCATTGATTCACTTGACTTGGAAGTTTGAACAATGAACTGAAGAAAGTGAGCACTAAGCTCTATTCTTGATCATACACAAGTCAATTTGAATTGTCAATTTATGTGGTCTGTCTGGTTAACAATCATCATATAGCTACTAGCTTACAACAATAAGTTTTCTGAGCTCATTAGTGATTTCATGTTCAACTAGAAAAATATCTCAATTCTTTGACTTATCCTTGTAATAAATAAGCTAATAATGGAAAGCTTTGTTCTTGTCCTACATCTTGCAAATCAATCTGAAGTGTAATTCTGTAACCTGTCACAGTCAGCACATAGCTTATTTTCTGTTTCCTGAAGAATCTTACAGGTCGGAAGCATTGCAACATGTTTTAAACTAAAAAAACGTCTTGCCTTTGTATGATGTGTAATATAACATCACAACCTCTCAGAACTTCTTATAAACTCTTTAGAAAGTAATTCCTTCCTACAAATCATAGCTTTATTGTATCTTTCTGAAAGAATAGTAATAATCTGAAATATTGCAGCATAGTTCTCTCGCCATTGGACAACAAATTCTTGTTTTGTTCTATAAAGCAACATCATAAGTCTAAACCTTAGTAGTATATGGAAACAGTTGAATAGCTTACCCAGTGTTCCTTTTTGAAAGGAGGTAGCAAAGACTTTTCTTTATAACTAGTGCTAGAACCCGCGCGATGCGCGGATAATTTGACGGAATATTAATCTTATAAAATTATGATCAATATATTATAATATTTTAATAAATATTAGTTACTATTTTATTATCTAATGTAGTGTACATAAATATAATAAAATCTATACAAAATCAAAGGACACAAAGCATTATAGTAATCAAATAAATTATTTATTCCTTGTTTATTCTTTATTAAATTAGCAAGTACTTAATACTATATATTTACTAATGTGATTTTTGTATTAGTTTGTCAATTGGCTTAATATTTTGATACTACTTCTCTTCTAGTAGAACATACGTATATATTCTGGAAATATAAATTTTTATACTTATGTTATACGGTTTAAGATTCTTCAATTATCTAAA